ATCCCAAAACCTGCCAGCCTGTCCCACACACAGACAGCACCCCGATCCATCCCCTTCCCCCTCCACCTTCCTCACAGCAGCCTGTGCCCCACACAGATAGTGCCCCACCCCTCCCCACCCCTCTCCCACCATAATAATAATATATAGAGATATACCATCTCATAGAGCTGGAAGGGACTTTGAGAGGTCATTGAGTCTAATCCAGTCCCCTGCCCTCATGGCAGGGCCAAGTGCCAGCCCTGTCAGATTTGCCCTAGATCCCTAAATGGCCCACTCAAGGATTGAGCTCACAACTCTGGGTTTAGCAGGTCAGTGCTCAAGCCGCCATCTCCCTAAGGGTGTGTCTAAACTACATGGCTCCATCGATGGCAAAGGGAAATGAAGCCGCAATTTAAATAATCGCAGCTTTATTTAAATTTAAATGGCTGGGGCGCGGCGGCGACAAAAAACTGATCAGCTGTTTGTCGGCTCCGCGCGCTAGGCTGGACACTCCTGCACTGACTTGAAAGCCCTTTATCGACCTCCCCGTTATGCCTCGTAGGATGAGGTTTACCGGGGAGGTCGATAAAGGGCTTTCATGTCGACAGGGGAGCATCCAGACTGCCCCGATCTACCGACAAACAGCTGATTGGCAGAGTGGGGCAGTCATTTAAATTTAAATGAAGCCGCGATTATTTAAATCACGGCTTCATTTCCCTTTGCCGAACAAACAAATCTACATGGCTCCGTCGACGGAGCCATGTAGTTTAGACGTACCCTAACTGTCAGCCTGTGCCCTACATAGACAGAGCATCTGATTTTCTTCCACCACAGCTGTGTAAGCACCACCCTATCTAATCTTATATATAAAGGAGACTGTTTGTGTGCTAATAACTTGGACACTATAAGAGCTACCACAACCAAACTTTCCATGGGATAACCTTTCTTCCAGGAGTAGGTTTTAAAGTACTTTTTGGACCCAATCAACACCCCCAGCATTGGCGCTCCAAGGGGAAGCTGCCCCAGTCACCTCTACTAGGCCGTTCCACTGAGCAAGTGCGTCTGAAGCGTGGGAGCCCCCTCCTCTCTCCCCTCTGTGATGTCAAATGTAATATAAGTGGGGGCTGGCCTTGCACATAAATTGAGCCACTGGAGCTGGGTTGGTTCGGGACGGGGGGTGGGGGGAAGCACCAGCCAGGAGAGGAGCGTGATTGGGAGGAAGTGGTAGGGGGCGGGAAGCAGA